AAGAACTTCGTCAATTTATTCATCAATAAATTGTCAATGTAAAACAGCTATAACATTTAATAGAGTTATCCGTAATATAGATTTTACTTGAAATTGATTGTCCTGGTTCTATTTGCCTGGCTGCTCCCTTGCTGCAGTTTATTTTGAATTTTATTTTGTATTTTATTTTGTATTAGATAAGTTAGATATGTGCATGTATAAACAATTCTTTTCTTTTTCTAGAAACAGGTAATTAGGTTGCTTCTAATCTGTTTGTTTCTTATTCAAAATAAATAAATAAATAAAATTATTCGTTTTTTAATAAAACGCTGGTGCTATCGGCTACCCGCTTCCGGCAAATTTGAAAAGGCACTAATAATTCGAACCACGGAAATTTGTTTTGTCGAGATAAAACGTCGAGGACTGATTTGTTCATTTTCAATGATCTCCAAAATGTTTTTCTTCGATTTATGGAGAAATTAAACCGAAACGTGCCCAAGTGTTATTATTTACGGACTCAGCTCTCATCTCTCGGGCATATCTGTTAATAGTGGAAAATGTTTCCACACGAGTAGAATATTATCTCAGATACTCCTCCAGATTTCTTCTACAGTTCCCTCCACGAAGCAGTATGATAACTAGCTCGTTAACTTCTAGCCATTTCCAAAATTTTTACGCCATTAGAATAATATGTTTACCTATTTTTTATTATTAATAATATTGAACACGTCGTACCTTACCTAATCTCGTTTTCTTGATAACTATAAGTGTGTCTTCCTTAATCAACCCCATCCACACCCCAGTGAGTTCGTTGTTAGGTTACAATTTCTATTCTTATTTTCTCATCAAGATAATTTAAGAATCAGAGGTTTCTTTGATAATAAACAATAACTGCAGTCAGCCGACAGAATTGATGCTAATTCCTCACCGTTCATTTGCTAATTCATCGGTGACCATTTTTGCTGTGCATTTTGAATACATATTATTCTACACTACTTTTGTTTGTTAAAATTTACTATTTCGCCCATTTGTAAAGATTTTTTATATATAAATATGGATACTTAGCTATTTAAATCATTGTGAAGAAAAATACAAGAGAGAGACGATTAGAATTTCTTCATTGAACTTTATAGTTTTATAGTTCAATACAAGAAATCGAGTATTCGATTACACATCCTTGGATTATTTATTGTTTTAAATAAAAATTAAATGAAGATATTTGCTTAAATTGGTAAATATGTAGGTACTTCCACAAAAAGTGTATGGTTTAGTATCTTTGTAATAACTATATCATTGGTTTTCTAAACTGTAAAGGACAGTGCCGTTAATGGTGCAAACGCATCCCATCTTGCTGTATGGTTTGCCACAGATTTGGCATGTAACTAATTTGACAATAGGTACTCTAGCGTTAGGTTTTAATTAAAGTACAGTGAAGCTTCTTTTCTTACGACATCTTTTTGGAAGATTCCTTCCCGGTTATTTTTGCATGAAGTTTATCCAAATTCAGCTTGTCAGGCTTTCCAAAAAAAAAAAAAAGAAGTCGAAAAGAAGTTACCATATAAGTATAAATAGCTCCCTCTAGAAGCTTCAAACATTTTAATTTACCAACCAAAAAGTTCTTAACTATCAATTCTCATATCAGTTACTCCAGAACAAGAAATCGAAGTAAAATGTGTAAATTGGGACATTCTCACTGAAAAGTCATGATAATGATTAAAATAAAAGATTGAGTAAATCACTATTTCATGATATGAATGATTAGAATTGCAAATATAATATTTCATACATCATCAATAACAAACCAATTCCTAAAAATCGCCACTGTCTTTTAACTAGTACTATTAGATTAATTTCAAAGTATTAAAAACTGAAAAAGACAAATTTCACTGTCATTTTATTCGATTCACAATCAGTAAAATCTACAGTAAACCACCATATCTAAATAAATATGTACATAGGTATTACTTAATTCTGAAAATCACAGTATCGTTGTTTTTATATCTACTACTACCAGATTAGATCATTTTACATTTTCACTTTTAAAATGATTTCCATGAACTTTATTTTCGTCCTGATTAAATTAATAGTAACATTTAATAGAGTGCTTAAGGCATCATTAATTTTAGAGTACTGATTATAATTAATTTGTAAAAAGAAGAATGAATGACGCATTATCACTTGTATTGTTAAAAAACAATTTTATTTCCAGAAGTTGGGAATGTCAGTAAAAAGTTATTAGAATTGTATTATAATATATAATTTAAAATTTCATTGAATTAATTGGAAACCTGGAAAATTAAAATAATTTTTGTAAATAACACTATAAGAATGTCTTGTATTTAAAGTAAACAAAATAATGTTGCTCCAAACCTAGAGAAATAAAAAACAAATCATGTTCAACAAAAATTTCAACCGGGACAAAAGAAATTCGACATCACTGCTTTTCAAACCACAGAGCCGTATCCTTAATTAGACTACACTAATTTTTTAGTATCGATTGTTGGTATCACTTTGTATTAAATCTCAAAGTTCAATGTTGCAAAGTAAATTTTATGCACACCTATGAATCAAACAATTTTAATTTTATTTCAACATAGCGGTCTTAATAGGCATGATACAATTGTCTAATTGTATCTACTAATGGTAGACATATAAAATTGCCTCTTTTACTATTCCATGTACTTATAAATCTACTTAACAAGTTAACAAGTGAGGCAACTTAACGCAATTCATTCAGTTTTCTAACAAATTATAGATTTAGCATTCGAATAGAAGAAAAATGTCTAAAATATACAGGATGTGGGGTGTATAATCTATAAGAATTAAACTACAGCTTCTTAACGATATTTGTAATAGAAAAGTCTTATACGAAAAAGTTCTATTTTGCGTTTTTTTTTTTCGTAAATTAAAGTTCAATTGTGGATAAAAATATTTTCTGTGGAACGGTCCTGTCCGTGTGCTATACAATTAGTTACGTGCTGTAGACTAGCCTCGTGAACAAATCATCGTTGAAAGATAGAAAGATACTTCTCAATTTTTGCGGAATTTTTCAATGCAAAAGTAGAAACTAGGAAAAATAAATATTAAAAAAAAACTGGCATTTTCTTATTATAATAATTAATAGTAATTACTATCTTAAACGCATTGTTGTTATTGCAAGAGTTCACAAACAAAACCACATCCGTAAGCATCTGTAGTTGCCAACTGCGTGCACTAAACAAACTCCATTAAAATATGGAACAAAATTAAATAAAACTTACCATTTCTAGAGAAAATGTTGAAATTGATCCCCATTAGCGCGGATACAGGCATGACACCGACGCACCCAATTTTAACGAATATTTTCCCAAATTCCAGGTATTCCCCTAATTGTATCAGCAGCTTCAAGTTTACGGTTTCACAATTGTTACACAATTGGAGTATTGTAAATCAAAGACTTCAAGTGACTCCACAGATAAAAGTCCATTTCAGTCAGATCGGGTGACCGAGGTGATCATGTCACAGGACCAAAGCGTCCAATCCATCGCTGAGGAAACATTTCATTCAAAAGTGTCGGTACTGTGTGGAGGAGCTCCATCTTGAAGATAAAACATGCGGGCCCGAACTTGTAATGCCACATCGTGCAATAATTCAGGCTATCGGTTCTCCAAAAAGTCAGCATTATGTTGGTTCATCGGCCGATATGTGCATATTATGGAAATTCTCTTCATCATGGGTAAATGTCGCCTCATCTGTTACACAAACATAAGCAGAAAAGTGTACTTGATTGGCACATTGCCGTAAAAACCATCTGCAAAACCGAATTCGTTGATCACAATCCGGGGATAAAATCTGTTGAACTGGTTGCAGATGAAGATGCGATGTACAGTACGAGATGAGGTACCTACTTCCTGTGAGAGTCGTCGAGTACTAATTGTGGGATCTTCGTCAATATTTTCCAACACTGCATCTTCAACATTAAGGTTCACTTGCGGACCACGTTCTTCTCCTCGAGGAATAACATTTCCCGTATCTCGCAGCAGCTGAACGCACTGTATGATTGAATTTGCATATGGGGGGGTGACGTTGTGGCCATCGTTCCCGCTACAACCTAGTCGCCGCGAGCGCATTTTCTCCGGCTGCACCATACACTAACACCATATCGACACATTGTTTTCTCGGTTCATTTTCAAACTAGTTTATGCACAAACTAAAAAATTAAGCAAAGTAAAAAATAAGAATCTCGTTTTTAATGTAATCGGCACGCTATTCTTATTTTTTACTTCTTTATAAAAATTACACTGCCACTATCGTGGAATTACGAAATAAAAACTTTTGTCTGGAATCTTTCATTTTTTAACACTGATGATGGACGATATTTACTAATCAAGTGAATAATGAATTCAATACAAATACAAAATCAGTTGACTGCACAAATTTTTTAACAATGTAACCAAACCTTCTTTTAATATTAGGTACTAGTACTAGATTATACCGACATAAATTATAAGGTTGCATCTCGGGTCGCATAAAAACATTTCCAAAGTTTTTAATAAATAACATATTTTCTATTACAAATATCATTAGGAAGCTGTAGTTTAATTTTTATAGATTATTCACGCCACACCCTGTATAATTTGTAAAAAGTATGTTGTACCTACCTCACGATTCTGCTTCAGCACTAGACTATTTCTTATATGTAATAATATTTTAAACAAAGTATAATAACCAGCAGAGAAGTCTTTAGAGTATTTTATTGTAATAATAATTGTATACAAACTACAAATGAATATGATTTAAAGTTCAAGTAATTCGATATTTCCAGATAACATTAATTTTATTTTAGTTTTTCATTTTCACAGAAGTAAATATCGAAATTAGTTCGAATATTCACGATCGACTATAAAATATTATTTGAACTTCCGTGTACTAAAATCTTATCAACATTGGGCAACGCAATCATAATCAGTAAATCGATATCAATCAGATGAAAAGTTGTATAAATATGTACTCATCACCCCATAGTTCATATGTTCTGACAACAGTAGTGTACATAGCACAGATTATCTAATAATTTTTTCAAACCTTCTCAAATAAAATCGTTCGCCTTCAATAATGAACAAAATGAAGACTGCCATATATGTGATATCACTTTTTTAGTAAGTTTTACTTATTCAGTACAATACCTATACATATAATTGTTATTGTGTCGCATTATAGTATAAAAATAATTTATGAAACTAACAGGCAGTTATTTTTCCTACATTTAAGCGAAATGTAGCAGATATTTTTCGTACATATTGTACAATCCTATTTTAAATATGTTTTTTTCACTCCTGCGGTTATAGAAAAATTCCCATTCGTGTAAAAAAAAATCTATAAAGAAATTGATTTTAAAATTACCAGCATTTTGCTTCAAAATTGTTGCTTTACTGGTTCCTTTGAGCGTATACTATTTTTTCAGCATTGTGAATGCTGACAAGGCCAGACAATTTCCCGAGAAATTTTCGTTCGGTGTAGAATCATCGGCTTATCAAATTGAAGGTGCCTGGAATGAAGACGGAAAATCAGAGAACATATGGGATCACTGGATTCACAGTGACCCATCACACATAAGGAATAATGATACTGCCGACGACGCTTGTGGTATCTACAATAATGATATAAACGACGCGGTTTATGTAGAGATGTCACCTTTTCAGCATTACCGATTTCCTATACCATGGAGCAGGTGAGTTCAAACTTTTGGAACTTTTACTAACTCAACTAAATTCAAAACCATTATATTTATTTTAAACATATACCTTAGCTTTAAGTTATTCATCTAAAAGCAAAGGCGGAACACTTTGAAAATACTTATGTATATCTACATCCTATTTATCTAGTAAATCCTACAATTCCTCTTTAAAATAACTATTGGAATGGCCACTGTTTACATTTTATATATTTTACTTTAAATGTGATTTCTCTATTATCGAACCTGAACTTTTAAATGCCTACCACAGAATTATTATTAAACTTAATGCAAATTTTTATTTCATTCTTCCGAAGTTCGTTTACATGTATTTTCTTATTAGATGTTGTATGACATAATTGAACAGGTTGCATCTTTGATCCTTCAAATGATTGCAGGTTAGATTGCTAGATTAACTCAAACATTTACGGTCGGATTATCAAATGAAATTTCAATTTCCCAACACCAAATGTCAAATGCATGTCGAGATACTGGTTAACCCTTTGTGGCCTGAATTATCTCGTGTTTTTTAAAAGTATATTTTTTTAAGATCTTTAATTATTATTTAACTATTGGAAAGGGTATACAAAACTTATATATTATACAAAAAATAGTTTTTATTATATAGAAAAAACACAAAGATGTGCTTCCACTATGGAACCACAAGGAACATAAGTATATACATCATTTTTTTTGGAATGTGTAAAAACAGTACGATTTATCAGTTAAACAAAGTCAAATTTCGTCATATGTCGTGGGAATAAAACGGTTATTATTAGTTATTTGTGTTTCATATAAATTTGTTTCAAACACAATTTTTTTCTATGAGCTCCTTTGTAAACAAACAGAAAAATATCAGTTGGTGAATCTGCATGTTCGGGCATATTTGGTCCACTGATTTTTTCTAAAGGATGCGGGGTGTTAGCGTGTGCCGAATTACTAGTCCACTGATGTATGAATGTCGCCAAAAGAAGATCATCCTCACTGTCGTAGTCCAAAACTTTGCTTGTTGGTACTGGCAAATCAGGTCTATTTTCTGACAAATCTACAGTTGAGTTCATAATACACTCATCTGCATCAATTTCATCTTCCGATGGTGCCTCAGAGGTAATGGAGCCCGTATCGGAAGGTATCTCATCCAACATAACAAATGCCTCATCAGAACTCATAAGAAAATTAATTAGTATGTATAGCCTAGTAGTCCCAAATGGAACCACAATATATTTACTAAAAAATAAAAGTTTTAGCAATAAAAAAACATCAACATTTTGACACAAAACTGTACTAAAATGCATATTTAAAAGAATAAGATCATAAACTTACGTGACATGATGTTTTTCCCTAAGAAGAGACTATCTCTAAACACGTGCAAAAACCGTCGTGCGAAACTCACAAGCAACAACTGAGAAACGAATAAACACAGCGCGCGGCATTTGAATTAAGCAGGGAGGAATGAGGTCTAAAGAAGAATATATCATGTAGTTCCACCTAGCACTTACTAGGCCGATTCTACGACAAAGTTTGAACTGTGGTCCCAATAAAGCACCATTAGCCCACAAAGGGTTAAATTGTTTTAATCATTTTCTTATATGAACGATAGTTTGATTCATAAGTTTACATTAACTTTTGAACGAATATTAACAACTTCAACATAATATTTCTACATTATATTTATTTATGTATTAATAGGTATAGATAGAAATAGATAAAATATATGTCTCCAACCTGGAACAAGAAGAACTTTCTTTATTTGCAACGACATACTTTATAAAATATTCCTGGTTGCCCTCAAACCCTTAAAAATGTCTTTAAATTAATTTAAAAGTGACCACGGCAAAATACCTTAATGTTTTGAAATAATAATAACATAAAATAATTAATAAGAAGAATTAACAATCCAGCAGCCTTTCTAGAACGAGGTATTTCACAATCTAGATAAAAACTTCTAGTTTATCTTCATACATATGTGTACACTATATATTCAAATAGAGTCTATATAATATTTTCAAAACAGAAAGAAACTATATTCAAACTTTGAATTATTCTATCTATATCTATTATAGGATACTGCCAAGTGGATTTGCTGATGAAATCAACATGAAAGCTGTTATACATTATCAAAACTTGATTAAAACTTTATCAAGAAACAACGTGACACTAGTAGTTACCCTCTACTACCACGACTTGCCCCAATCCTTGCAAGATATTGGAGGTTGGACAAATCCAGCAATGGCCAAATACTTTGCGGACTATGCTCGAGTTTGTTTTCAGTCCTTCCCCAATGTTGAATATTGGATAACATTTAACGACCCAAGGGCCACCTGTAGAAGAGGATATGGAGAGGGAACTTTTGCACCAGGTATTAATTCGGATGGTGTCGGAGAATATTTGTGCGCCTATACCGTTCTGAAGGCACATGCTGCAGCTTACCATTTATATAAGGAGGAGTTCAAGGACTTGAAAGGTTAGTAAATTGCATGAAACTAGATCAACTTCTTGGTCTTCAGTCATCTGCAGACTTTCTTAAATTGGTTTCCACTCTACACTATAAAATAATTTAAATAATTAACAGAAATACTTAATAGAAAACTTAATTTAGATGAAGTAGAGAAGGGTAGTATCGCTATCTATTGTTAAGTATAGTTACTTTCAATAATAATGATTGTGAAGTCTAAATTATTATTAAGCTTTATAGTTTAATTTACTTCTCATCTGTTGTCGATTATTTTAACGGAAGATAAGTAAAAATCTACAGAATCTTCGTCTCCATTCTCTTGAAATGTCTTTTTCTTTAAATAAAATTAATAACACCTTTCTCTACTGATATAGAATAGCATTTCATTTGAGAGTTATGTATTCGTATTAGTTTTAATCAATTGACCCAAAAATATTTATTTGTCTGTAACTTGTTTAATATTTATCAATTTTCTAATGTTTTCTTGCAATTCATGTTTGACACTCTAAGTATTCTATATTATCTTACATTAGTGAAGATAAAAATAATAATATGTTTCTAACTTATGTATATAACTTCTTTATATTTTTAATTATTAAATATTTTTAATTGTAAAACCTGATTTACATATATCATAGACCTAGCTACATATGTATATTAGGCAGTTGCTGTATACTTGTATTTATTTTATTAACCTCATATTAATATCTCAATATTATAAAATAATAAAATGTTTCTTCCAGGTAAGATGTCAATGGCAATTGATATGCAATGGTCCCAACCGGCTTCAATCAATGACTCAGCTGCTGCAGAAAGAAGAAATGCTTTTGATGTAAATACGTTTTGCTTTTCTTATTTTAAATAAGCGGTTATAAAATTTGTTATAATTATATAGGAATAATGAAGGTATGGCGTGAATATTAAAAACAGCTAAATTTTATTTCAGTTTGGTTTGTACGCCAACCCCATCTATAAAGGAAACTGGCCCCAAGCAGTTATAGATAGGGTTGATTACAGAAGTGAAAAGGAAAATTTCACAAAATCTCGCCTCCCGAAATTCACCGATGATGAAATAGACTACATCAATGGTACGTCCGACTTCATGGCAGTAAATCTATTTTACACACATGTTGTGGAAGATATTGAAGAAGCTGTATTCGGTGATCCCAGTTATACGAAGGATATGAAAGCAAAAGTATATATAAATTATAATTGGCATTTGGCAATCAATGGGCAACCGGTACGTCTATATTTTATCATAAATACATTTGTTTTAATTATCATATTTGCCATAAAGAGTCTTTGTACGATACTAACAAAGGGTAACACATTGTTATTTTTTTACTTTATCTTGTGAACGAATTTCCTTCTGAATTTGACGATATATAATAACTTGATTTATGCCTCAATTTTTGTTAAAAATTTACTAGAAAAGTATCTATGATACTCCTTAATATTAATTTCAGCGCAGGAAAATTGTCAAGTGTAGCATGACTACAGTCAACATAGACATAATAGATAGGCAGGACCATATTTAAGTCAGATTCAGAAGAATATTCCTTATCAGATTAAAAAATAATTGACAGTCTCCTGCAATTAAAGTAGGTCATGAAAAATGGTGACTGTACCAATTTATAGTATCTTTAGAGCCATTAACGCCAATCCTTTGTTTCTTTAAATATGATGTAAAAGATATCATATACTTAACTAAAATTTGTCCCTGTATTATTTCATAGATTGTTCCTTGGAGTGCTAGAAAGACCTTAACTTGGTTAAGTGCATCTTTCAATAATCCTGACATATTCATTACCGGAAATGGTATACCAGACGAAAATACTTCCATGGATAAAACGAGAGTTAGTTATTTTCGGGTAAGAAAAATTATTATTACTTTCTAAATCTTATTTGATACCCATTTAATGATAATCGTTATAACTTCCGGACTGACAGCCATGTCATAGATTTAATTTTTTTACGTTTGAGGAGACATGATTGTCCTTTTCAGAAGAAACTCTGAATCTGAAGATTAAATTCTTTGAGAACACAATTTTCGGTTCCAGAATTCCTTCTAACGAAAGGAGCAAAATATCTTTCGAAGCGTCAAGAAATTTAAACCGACGGCCGGTCAACCAGTGCATTAACAATATAACAATTGTCATGAAATATAAAGTTATATATTGACAATTTTAGGATTATCTCAATGCAATACTTGATGCAATTGAAGAAGATGGAGTAAAAGTCTTTGGATATACAGCTTATAGTTTATTTGACAGTTTTGAATGGACTGATGGATACAGGTAAAATAAAATACTTAATATCACTAAACCTGTTTTTAAAATTCATAATAACAGCAAGTACTTTATATGGAACCTGTTATGTACATGGTATGCTACTTGCCATCAGCGCCAGTGTTTCGTTATAAACTTAAAGACACTATTTTAAATCAGTACCTAGCCATTATTCAGAGGACAATAAAGAATATATAAATCTACTCTTGCGACAAAGTAAATTCAAAATAATGTCATGGCTTGGATTGCGATTCTATATTTCATCCTTTCGATAGTGCATGGATTAAAAAATTGTTTAAAATTTTCAATATACAGGGTGATGCATAAACGGTGACCAAAAATGAAACCTCGTATTCTTTGGTGAATTTTAAAGGGAATCTTTTGTATGATGTTTTCATCTAGGACGCTTCCTTAAAAAGATACAGGGTATTAAACTTAAAAAAAATGTCTTTATTTTTTTTTAACAATTTAAAAAGTGGTAAGAGAAGGACGAAGCGAAAGACTCCCCTTAAAACTCACCAAAAAATAAGAGGTTTCATTTTTGGTTACCGTTTGTGAATAACAAACAATTTGTTTCATGAAGTAAACAAATAGGAAAAATTTATTTATTTAATTCTCTATCCGATACACTTAATATTCTTGCCAAGATCAACCCTTACTTAAAAATACGTCTTTTTGTTTTTAACGAGACGTCAATGGGAATATTATGTGACATACTCTGTATACATCAAAACCACATTAATAAATACATGTCGTGCATTAATATGCCATAAATCTCACGTCAACCGGAAACGAATATTACGTACTGCAGAGGTAGCTACTTTGGATGAAAATAAATTTAGATTGTTACATTAATATTTTCTTCCTTTAAATTTTTTTTTTTTAAATAATTGCGTCACTACTTCTGGGGTAGACAAATATGAATACAGGTTTACTTTTACTTAAGAGATGGAGAAATCTAAGGATACCCAAAACAGATTTGTTTTTTTAACCATATTGGTTTTGTTGGTAGATTCACCTTCGCGAGTGGAATATTGTTATTTACCGACAACCATAATAGGATATTGAAATCTACTCTTGATGATGCATTTTAGCGACATGAAATAGTAAATATGAACGACGTTTCATAAAATACCTGTTTTCCAAAATTTCTTCCGCAAAAAACAAATTACTGTTTTGAATCTTCTTAGAGATCTCCGTGTTATAGGAAATGAATAAATTTATGTTCATTTATGCTTACCCAAAACAAAAAAAAGAAACTATATGATTACATATTAAAGAAAATGAAATACATTTTCTTGAAGGTTCATAACATAAGGAGGCGAAACTATACCAATGTAACATGATTGATTTATTTTTTCACCCAAGCTTCCATTGGAGTACGGCTTATTCGTTTCAGGAAAACCTAAATGTACCTACTTTGTCTCATACCTAGGTATTATTTCAGCTACAAATTTGGTTTCTATTATGAATATGAAAATACTAGTACCAGACTTGATAAAAGTTCTCTAATATTTTACAAAAAGTTGATTAAAACTTACATCATACCCGAGGATGATACGACCACCACCACCACAACAGTTGCAACTACCACTCCTGATTCTGCTACAAACATTGTTTTGTCTCCTATTCTTATATTAGCAGCACTATTTATATTTAATTTATTTTAAATTTTACAATTATTATCGACCATAGTTTGGAGTGCACAAATGTATACAGTCCCTGTTGAATCTAGTCTAGTCGCCTTATAACTAAGCAGAGAGATTCTCATAATACTAGGCGCAAGTAATGAAAACTTAAACAAATGCTTTAATTTGAAATACTTTTGAGTCTGATAGAAGCTGTTTAAGAACTACATATCCTTTAAATATAAAATCTCTCTATAACCTAGTAAATATGTGTTCTTTAAGATTATTTATACTACTTTTTAACAAAAGTCTGAGTCAGATAAATACGTAGATAACTCCCATTCTCGATGTTTTCTACTTGTAAATAAAATTATGAAAGTTGTTACTTAGTGTAAGAATAGTTTAAAGTAGTTTTTTATTTAACTATTTAAGTAAATTAATGTGATAATAAAGAATTAGTTCTTAAGTTGTTACTGTCATTGCTACTATTTAGTACATTTTTTAAATAAAATTGTTTTACTTATTGTTTTGAATTTTATTTCAGACAAACCTTACTCCGAATCTACAATGATACGGACATTGTTAATTAAGTACGTAATCAGTAATATTCACCAACGAATATTATTCTCGAACAATGTTACTCAAATAAGCTGGCAGGTAAAATTCTAATGTTTTTTCAATTAAATTTAATTGGTTCCATTATTTCACCGTGCATTTTCTTGACTACACATAATTTTTTTTAAATAAAAGATCCAAAAAGCACATAATAAAAAATATATTGTTATAGCGAAAAGTGTTGTTAGAAAGCAAATTTTGCCACTACTGTTCAAACTTTACTAACATTGTTGATAAACACTGTTAGCGAGTAAGTCATTATTGCTTGCGTCAGCGTGGACGTGGAGCAAACTGAATTAGTTAGCGAACAATATTTTTAGTTTGGAAATGTTATTGTTTACGCCAATGTGGACCCGGCATTTAGTGTTTGTTAATGTTTCTCTGTAGCTCTGTATTTTCAACTAAATGTGTTTCAGGAATAGTTATCTACTCTCTTCTTGTATTGCATTATTGATACAAAGAAAAGAATTTGGCAATTATTTAGCTATTTTATATGCCAATACAGCTGATTCATTATACTGTAAAAAAAAAACGGTAAGAGCAATAAAGGTTCGGGGTGAATCCATTTACTGAAATCATTGAGTACATTTTCACTCAATATTGGGTATTTTGATCATTTTGCTCATTTGTGATTATACTTAACTAAAACTGAGTACTCAAATAAATTCTTCACGTAAACTCGTATTTGGTGCACTTGTACCTTAATCAGAGTAAATGTCCTCATTACTGAGTGATCCCACCATTTTTATATCTTTGTCTGATCCCATTGTCCCATTAGATTATCTCGTGACCGTGGCGTGGTGGATGGCAGTATGGCGTATGGTATGCTTTGGAGTTGGACAAGTATCGGTTTATCTGGTTATTCTAGTGAAAATTGTATTTATATGCAGTAATAATTACAATAATTAAAGACAATATATTATTATTGTTATATTTATTTTAATTTGTGTATAATATTTTTGTTATGTAGTATAGTATATAATTTTAGTAATGTTTAATGATTAAATATTCGTTTGGGCGCCTTTTGTTGTGTAGAATGTAATTTGTGTGTGTTGAAATTAATTTTTATTGGATGCAGGTTCTCAGTATAAAGTTACGCAATAACAATGACAAATTTCATCGAATTATACTTTTCTTACCTTGGTTTTGCTTATCTCTCCTCTGGTAGCTTTATCTTGCATAAATAACATTTTCAGTGTACACTTTATTACACTGTAGATAAGAATGTTTAGTAATCAATGATACACTGTCCCTCAAAAACACTTATTAAGAATACTAGCATGAGTTCTTATCTCAGAGAAGCGGTTCAATATTATTCAAATTTACTATCACTATAGATTTGAGTAGGAAGCAATGAATGAAGGCAAATTTTTAACGATTTTAACAATGTGACATTTATTAACTATTTATTTTAAAATCCGAACAATGTTTTAAAAAAACACAGAAACTAGATATGTTATGAACTTTTACATGAATAAATAACTGATAAATTTTCTTAACTCTACCTAATTTAATTTTGAAAATATTTGGTTAACCAATTTGTATTGTTTTAAAAGTATTACGAAACAAATTAACTTAAATTAAGAACACAGAAACTTAACTAACCCTTATACTATGCAATGTTCTAAAATATGATTTTAATTTCTATTCACTAATATTGTCTATGGTTTGAAATACAGTTTTTGATTTCACAAAATGTTTTTTTAATTCGAATTTGTAAACACTCTAATTTATGTTTTGGTGAGTATGCTTAGGCAACTGGACTTACATTTTCCATTATCTCAAAGTTGGAATGTCCAATATTCACTCTAACCTCGCTTTTTAGTCGTGGCTGAAACAGCTGTTCTCGTCTCTTGTGGATAGTTTTTTGTGGGTTGGTTGCGTCCTGGTTTTCTACGATGTTATTTGGGGAGCTACAGTATAACATGCACCCCTAACCTGTATCTGGGATCAACTAGTTTCTCTTCCAACTTGTTTACTTCGAAACGATGCTGTGTTGTTTTACGTTAAAAGGCAAATTTTCTGATTTGTCCTTTTTTTATTGGTCACTTGTATCCATGAGATATTGTTTTCTTACTGCGCACTTTCTCTCCAACATATTGCGATGTGATTTTATTTTTAATAAATTACGGCGTAATTTGTATTTTGTAACTGCGTAGTATTTTTTACGTCTCAAAACTAGTTTATAAGAAATTTCTATATGGAATTCTGAATGACAATTTTTATAATAAACTTCTAGCCTATGTGTTTTTCTGATACTATAATATTTGAATTTTCTTTTGTACTAATTTATTTAACGTTCAAAATTTTTAAATTGGCCTTTCTTGTGGCATTTTTCTTGTGCTTTTATGTTTCCACTTTGATCGTAAACTTTATCTTTTTGACATGTTTCTCTATTAAAATGTATTAGTTATATTTTGAATGATAATATTTTAATTTTGATATGATATACCTATGAAATGGGATTTTATTTTACTTTAAAAGTAATTCATGTCTTCATTATAGTCTACGTTATAATTTTATGAATTTTTTCTCTACCATTACTCTATGTCGTATCTTGAAATACAGTGTGTTCATTTCAACATTGTCTCGATTAATATTTGGTTAAATGAACGGATAGTTATATTGTTATCTATAATTACGTATTTGTAACGTACAATATAGTTTATGGCAATCTATTCGTCCGTTTAGTTCACTAATACCTTTAACCGAGACCTAAAATATTGACTCTTAACAGATCTGTGTAGAAACCACTGTGGCAACTTAGTAGTTTATGACTTTAATACAATGATATTTAAATTAAAGAGAATATAAATCAAGTCTGAGTAAAAAATTTCTTAATAATAGTTAAAATTAAATCTTGAGAAAAAGTCAACTCTAAATTGGTTTTATATACCTACTCAAAATAGAGTCAAAAGTCACTCAATTGATAGTTAGTAGTAACTCGGATTTGAGTAAAACTCATTTCTGATGCAATAGAAGTGAAAATTTCACTCAATCGAGTGTGAACAGAAATTGATATATTATTGAGTGAAAGAGTGATATTTTTTTTACAATGTACATAATTTAAAATAGTCCCCATAAAATAAAGTGATAAACTAGGTATGCAAGCAACTCGTCTGATACAATTGTTCGACCCACAATTTTGCGAATTAAAGAAACAACAAAGGATGGGATTTGTTTTATACAGAAGTCGTCAGAATTTAAGTAAAATATTTTTAAAAGCGCTCCAGGTATGTGGATCCGAATATTTAGTTTTTTTTTATTTCGATTATTTATTTATTTATTTTTTTGGAAAGTCTGTTTGGTCAATTCAAAAACTATTCCCTCTCGGTTACTTTTGCAAGAAGTTTATCTAAGATTAACTTATCAGTTTTTATTTTTGTGTTTCTTTTTAATATTTTTGCGTCTTCGTTCATCATGCTACTGTCACAATCTACAATAAAGTACAAAATCAAACAAATAATAACTTAAGTTACTAAGACATGATGACAGATTTTATAAAACTGTTCTATGATGTTCGGAAAGTTTACTATTTCCAAAAAAAACATCTTATTTCTGTATAAAATAAAAAGTTTAGTGGAAAAATATCGACAATTTAATTTTAAGTCTAAACTCACGCAAAAATAGTCGCCGATGTTATGGCGTCTACGTGACGTCACATCTATGTTTGTCAACAGTAAACATAAGTTGGTAATAGTTTGTGTTACAAGATTCATTAGTTAAACAAAAATACAGAGTTACCATAATAGTATATGCATTTTATTTATCCTAAAATTGTACTTTGGTATAATAATGGATACACATTATCTTTCCATAAAGTCCTGTTAAATACACTTGCAGCTGCCATCTGCACATAAAACTTCTGGGTCGGTTTTTCCTTTTCCCACATAATTTTTAAAGGTCTTCATATTCCTGGTACATTTAATTTCAATAATCCTGTCTCTCATATTCCATCAGGCGATCCTGCTATCAGGGAATAGTTTTTGCAAAGCATTATACCACATTTTTGTATCATGGCGGTTTGCTTGTATTCTATAGTTTTACTTTATCAAAAATATTATCAATCTCGCTCATAATATAAAAATAAATACGTTTTTTATAATTCATGAATCACATTTCATTAGATAAATACATAATTTTAGTGATTCTTGGTTACTGTCATTATGCCTAATTGTCAACTGTAGTCATAGTAGAATGAGCATTAACACAGCTGGAAAGAATAAGAACAGAAAAACAACAAAATAGAAGTAGCTTAGCTTAACCTATAAATCAATTACTTATTTTTTGTCCTTCTATGATTCTCTAAAAGACTCTTTTCCAGCTGTGCTCTACAAAATCTGTTTCAAAAAATTTTCAAAGATCCACACTATTCTCTAAACTATAACATTAGGTGCTTGTTTGTATTTTACACTTTATTGCGGGTTATGACAACGACATGACACATAATAGTTTGATTTATTTGGATGAACACAGATACCGAAAAGAGACGGACAATAATGGAAGCTGAAAATTAAACTTGGTTAAAAAAAATCATTTTTGAATTGACCAATCGGGTTTTCCAAAAGAAGTTTCCGAAAAGAAGCTACCTACTTTTAACCTTAGGTGACGTTATCGAAGCAATACATGTAGCGCACACTGACAATAAGAGCTACAGAAACATTCATAAATATATTAATTCACCAACCAGAAAGTTCTTTTTCAATATAATATATCTAAGTAGTGACATTCTGGGGAATTAAAATAAAGAATTGAGGGCATTATTATTTCCTGATGTGAATTATTAAAATCAAAACGATAATATTTCATACATTATCATCATAAACAAACCAATTCCTAAAAACCGTGGCTGTTTTTTAACTTGTACCATTAGATTAGTTCAGAGTATTAAAAAAGTGGCAAAAACAAAATTAACTGTAATTTTCTCCAATGATTAGAATCTACAGTAAACCAATAGATCTAAATAAATAAATCCGTAATTCTGGAAATCACAGTATCAGTATTTGTGTACCTACTTACTTAATATATGATTAGATAGGTAGGTACATTTTCACTTTTAAAATGATTTCCATGAAGTTTATTTAGGTACGTCCTGATTAAATTAATAGAAACTTTTGTTTAAGGCATCATTAATTAATTAGGTACAGTACTGAATATTCTTAATTAGTAAAAATTAAAAGAATGCATAACGTATTATTGTTATAATTTTTTTTCTAGTAATTCAGATTTTTAGTAAAGCATACAAGGTCGAGTTCCAAAGTAAACAAGTCTTTTCAGAAATAGGTATTTCTAGTGAGACCATCTATTGGCAATTACATCCGTCGGAAATGTAGATCCTTTATTGACGTACTGTCAAAATTTCACATTTGGATGAATAGAAGCGGAATTATTGCGTCTGAAGATTGGTTTGTGTCATCGGTACAAAACTAAGCATCGAAGCTTAGCTGATACTAAATTTTGTTTTAAAATTGGTAAAATTTGTATCGAAACGTTTCAGTTGATGAACTAAGTTTATGGTGATGATTGTTTATCTGGTGGCAGAGTTCATAAGTGGTTTACTTAAAAATGGTTGTGAGGACATTTAAATGATGAATATGTTGACCAACCGAAATGCATGTTCAGATTCCACCAAAACTGTGCGTGAATTCATCAAAGATCAACCAAAATCTTCATTGAAATTCATGAAATTGGAATTGAGCATCTCAAAAACATCAATTTATCCCATTTTAACCGCACATTTGGGCTACCGAAAAGTGTGTGCAAGGTTTGTTCCGCACCAGCTGACTGACGATCAAAAATTGCTCAGAATTCAATATTCGAAAGACGAAAAGAGGCGAAAAATGATAAAAACTTGCTTTACAACATTGTGACTAATGATGGAACGTAGTGTTTTCAATATGATCCAGAAACCAAGCGCCAAAGTGTAGAGTGGAAGGCGCCAGATGAGTCAAAACCCAAAAAATCTCGTTTGGAGAAGTCAAAAGTAAATACAATTTTAATTTGCTTTTACGATTTCAAGGGCATTGTCCACAAAGAGTTTTTTCCACCGGGTCAAACCGCTAATGCACAATTCTACATTGGCGTTTTAAAGCATTTGGTGCATCATATTCGGCCAGAATAATACGCTATCTCGTCGATCGACACTTGTGATCGATTTTTGAGTAGAAATGGGACTATATTGAATAAAATACATCCGTTTTACCAAAAAAGCTTTTTGTTGTCCTTATTTATTTAAGTTCTGTTTACTATGGAACGCACTTTGTATATTGGGATTGTTTTATAACGTATAATTAAAATTTCATTGAAATCACTTAAAATATGGAAAATTAAAATAATTCTTGTAAATAACACTATAAGAATATCTTGTATTTAAAGTAAGGTAAATAATATTGCTCCAAAGCTAGAGATGTAACTAACAAACATCATGTTCCCAATCTCAATTTTTAAGACTAATTCAAAAAGGGCAAAGGAAATTCGATCTCTTCATTGCTTTCAGAATCACAAGGAGATATTCATAGCTACAAACTACACTCATTTTTCAGTATAGAATTGATTGTTGGTGTCAGTTTTCATTAGATCTTAAAGTTCGATGCTGTAGCGTAAATTTTGATACTTTTTTATGAGAGTCGCTAAGTAATCCAGAAATACGTCCCAGTACGCACAATTATATGTCTATGAATCATACAATTTTATCTTTATTTCAACATACCAATATTTGCAAGTTTGGCAATTAGATTGTAGATATATTAAACTATTATTTTCCTATTTTATATACTTAGAAATCAAAAACAAGTTAAAGTTTGAACTAGGCGTCATGAAAATGTACAGAAATTTTTTAAGAAAATTGTCAGTTAACGCTATTTGTGAAGGCTGGAAGCAAAGAGTATTATTTTAGATAACATAAAGATAACATTCTACTTCAGACCTTTTGGTACATTTAGAGGATTCAATTCAAATAGTATATTATTCAACGAGCGTATAATGATGGGTATTATTCACGAGGTGAAGTTTACGGCCACGAGCCACAGGCGAGTGGCCTAAATCACCGAGTGAATAATACCCATTATACGGGAGTAGAATACTATACTTTATCCACGACTACTAAATATTTTTGTTGCAGTTTTTTTTGAAATGTTTCGAAAAACATGGTATGTTAAGAAACAGATATACGACTCGCACAAATGAAGTCGCTGATGGCTCAGTGTAGATGCTCTTTCCCTTCCAACCGCGGGTCCCGGGTTCGAATCCGGTCTAGGAAAATTCACTTTTTTAATTATTTTTTTTTATATGTACAGCACTGAATTGAACATATTTAGTGGTTTACACGATAAAATTTTAAAAACGGATTGTTTGTAGCAGAACAATATAATATTATAGCTAAATTAAGGAAGCATCTGACAGTAGTGATTAATGACTCATTAATCACTGCCGTGATTAATGGGTATTATTAAGGTCGAGCAAACAGACGTATAATGGGTACATTATACAATAGTCGTGGATAAACAACTTTATAGATACAAAACAAATGCCAACAATATTTTTCGACCTCGAAAAAACATTGTCACAGCATTTTATAAAAGCTACACATTTATTCAGTACATTCTATACCGATATTGTATCGCGTTATGTTATAAAGATAATAATTGTTGAAACTAATAGACAGTTATTACTATCTTATTCTACTGTTAACCGAAAAATAAACTAATTTGTAACATTAAATAGTTTTTCACATTATAATTTGTAACTGATATTTTTTGTTATTAAAAAAAATATTGTATAATTCCTGTTTGAAATAAGTAGGTACCATAAAAATCGATAAAAATTTGATTTTAAAATTACCAGTATTTTGCTTGAAAATTATTGTTAAATGAGTCACCTTAAGTATATACTATTTTTCAGTATTGTAAATGCTGACAAGACCAGAAATTTTCCCGAGAAATTTTCATTTGATGCAGGATCATCGGCTTATCAAATTGAAGGTGCCTGGAATGAAGACGGAAAATCAGAGAATATATGGGACCACTGGATTCACAGTGACCCATCACATATAAAAAATAATGACACTGCTGACGACGCTTGTAGTATCTACAACAGTGTCATAAACGACGCTATTTACGTAGGTATGTCAACGATTCAGCATTACCGATTTTCTATACCATGGAGCAGGTGAGTTCAATAATAATTTTTACTTTTACCAGCTTTTTACATGAATTAAAAAAAATACTCTCAGAAACGGTACCTAATTTAAATTTTATGCCAAATTTATATCTCATATTAGTCAATTCTGTTAAAAAATATTAATTAAATCTCAGAATTCAAAAATTTTATTTCAAAGAACTTTAACATATGTTGTAGAAAGTATAAGAACTGTTATTAGGAAAATATAAGATGTATTTCTTCACTCTCTCGATAGAACAGGTTAAAATAATGTTCATTCATGATACAAACCTATTTCCTAAATCGCATCGTTTCGGAGATAGAGGGCGTTCAAATAGAATTTTTTTTCCAGCTTTTCCCCCATAACATTTGAAGCACTCATCCGATTTAGGCGAAATTCGGAACACAAACACTCTTTATGATCTTAGATAAGCTTCTTAAGTTTGAACCATCTCTTGGAAATGTATTTTGTGTGCTACCCCCTCCTACATTATTTCAAAACTTATTAATTTCAATAAAACAGCTGCACACCACTTTTGTCTCAATAATTTTACAACTTTTTCGTCACTTGTTTTTTTTTTCGATATTTGGCCTTGTTTCTGAGATATTCAATGAAATCCGAGCCACCTTTTGAGAATAACTTATTTTCATTTGCTTGCACACAAGCTTCAGCGCGGCGTATTCAGAAAAATAGAGATTTTTTTGCTTTTTAGCAATATATCACATACTATAGTTATTTTTACAAACACAGGAGATACGGGGTGTTTTATTATATAAATTATATATGTTTTTCCTTTTTAATATGGCTGGCTATGAAAATACATATAAAACTATAATTCCTACTTTTACTAAACTTATATCTGTTGTAAAAATACAACGTTTATTTTAAATGCATAACATATACTCGTATGATAATATAATACTAACGCAATTTTAGGAAATAGTTGGATAGGAACAAACGGACCGATCAGATGGCCATCTAGGTTACGTGATTTGAGTCCGTTGGTCTTTTTCCTTTGGGGTTTTCTAAAAGACATTATATTTAAAATTCCTTTTTACTCTATCGAGGAACTTCGACGAAATATTGAAAATTCTTTTAATAATATTTCTAAAATACAGTTAATGACTGCTATCCGAAGCGTTGCCAGAAGATACGCGAAATGTGTGACAATTGAGCGATGACAATTTAAACATTTAGATGATGATGTAGGTACTTACTATTGTTTAATTTACGTTTAATATTATAACTTAAGTTGAAGTGGAATAAAAATTTGAAAACTGTCTTTTCTTATTTGTAATATGCATTTTAAATAAACTTCATATTTTTACAATAGATATGAGTTTTGTTAAAGTAAGAATTATAGTTTTGTATGTATTTTCATAGCCAGCCATATTAAAATGTAAAAAAGGATCGAATTTATATATAAAACACCTCGTATCTTCTGTGTTTGTAAAAATAACTATAGCATGTGATATATTGCTGTAAAGCAAAAAAAATCTCCATTTTTTTAGGTCATGACCAGCTACGATTTCCATTAAAAAAAATATAACTTAGGGTCATAACTCTGGAATCTTAAAACCTACTAAAAAATCTAATACCAGCATTCAATTCTACACCAAAGAATTAGTCTTGAGTAGTTTTCTCTTTAACTCTACCTTATTTAACAGCTGAGATACAGACATATTCAAAAGTGTCACAATAACTAGAAACGCCCTGTAACTCAGAAACAAATGAAGATAGAAAATTTCTGATTTGACAATTGAGTTTGCTATGAAAATCGAGCTCGAGAATGTGGTGTCAGATTTATCATATCTTTAGTAGTTTCTGAAATACTATGAAATCGTACCGAAAATGGACCAGCCTGTACAACTGCAATAAAAAAGCAGGATGTTCCATTAAATAATAAATAAACTTTTGGTTCGAACTGCAATAGTCCAAATTTCCTGAAACTTTGTTCTATACCATTTTCCTCTTGACATAAAAGTAAAAAAAGATAAGGACGGTAGAATGTGGTGTCAATTAACCTATACATATATGGTATATTCTGAAAAACAATCGACTTAACTTACATATAATTTACATTTTCAGAATCAAGACTGGATATTTTCAGATAAAATAGATGTAATTCTGAAATTCAAATTAGGGTTTCTAGAATAACATCAACCATTTCTAAAATACATATTGGAAAATTTCATTCCCAACGCGAAAGAAATAAAACTACTATTTCAAAGAAAATTGCTGTTCACCTGGCTTGGAATTATTTACGAAACAGGTTGCATCTGTGATCATTCAAATAATTTCTGATGTTACGTTAATTGCTAGATTAATTCAAACATTTATGGCCGGATTATCACATCAAATTTCCATTTCCCAACGCCTAGGTGTTTTATAAAAGACGGTCAGATTGCTAAATATTTAAAATCATTATCTGGTTGAAATACTGGTTCAAACATTTCGGTTGATTTAATAGTTTTAGTAAATGAAACGATAGCGGTAGTAATAAGTTTACGTTAAATTTTGAACGAACAACTTTAACATAATATTTTTACATTGTAAGTAAAAACAGATATTTCCAAACAGATGTATCCAACTTAATTGTGCCCTGAAGAGGAAAATCTTTTTTAATTACAAATTTATGAGAAAATGCAATCCTTTACAAAAAATCCATATTGTCTTCAAACTCTTTAAAATGTTATTACTTTGTTGATTTTATATATTTATATATTTATTGTAGGATATTACCAAGTGGATTTACAGACGAAATAAACATGAAAGCTATTATTCATTACCAACACTTGATCACATCTTTATCAAGGTTAAACGTGACACCAGTAGTTACCTTCGACTACCACGACTTGCCCCAATCCTTGCAAGATATTGGAAGTTGGACAAATCCAGCAATGGTCAAATACTTTGCGGACTATGCTCGAGTTTGTTTTCAGTTCTTTCCCAGTGTTGAATATTGGATAACATTTAACGACCCAAGAGCTACTTGTAGAAGAGGATACGGAGAAGGAAGTTTTGCACCGTGTATTAATTCAGATGGTAGCGGAGAATATTTGTGCGCCTATACCGTTCTGAAGGCACACGCTGCGGCTTACCATTTATATAAGGAGGAGTTCAAGGAATTGAAAGGTTAGTAAATTGCATTAATCTAGTTCATCTTCTTGGTCTTCAGTCATATGCAGATTTTCTTGACTGTAATTCTTGCATACACTATAAACGGAATAGGTAGGAATACGCATTTGCATTCACATATTTTTATCAAAAATAATACGAATTCTTTAAATAGAAGTATTTAATGGAAAAAATTGTTTTTCCATTAAATTATTTATAAGGTATTATAGAATAGGTCAAGTACTATGAAATACCACATTTATTTATTTTTAGTACTAATTATTACTACACTACAGCATATAACAAAGATAGACTATAAGTATACGTCACAAGATATAATTAAATGTACACACAAGAATATAACATCAGGTTACAATGAAAACAGAGGCAATTAATATACTACAGATGTAAAACACATACGCCTACTGCAAATCTATCCAGTATGACTTTTAGCCCATCCAAATTAATATCACATGTACCAGAAATCATATTAAAGTCATATTATAAAAAGGTGATTTAATGAATAAATCTGAATTATCATGTGGCAAGTGAAAAGTAGAGAGCTGGGGAGCTATAAAAGGTGTAAAATGATAAAAGTAAAATGTAAAGTAAACCTTAAGATCAGCAGCAAACATCAAATAGTGACGATCAACAATAGAACACAAGTCATTTATAAAGAGTAAAAACATTAATGGACCCAGATTAGAGCCCTGCGGTACTCCCGACGCCGCCAAAAAATCAGTAGACCTATAACCGTTGGAAGCAACATATTGAACCCTCATTACTCAAGTAAGAAATGAAAACATTTTGCAGAGATGCACTGAATCCAAATGCGTTTAACTTATTTAGCAAAATTTTATGATCAATGCGGTTGTCAAATGCATTTGAAAAGTTTATATAAACCAACCACATCTATCTGACCATACTGATCGATAACTTCATATAAATATTGCATAATACTTAAAAAGTTTGTGGTAGTAGATCTCCTTTATAAAGATATATTAGATTATACAAAAACTTTTCAAATACCTTAGCAAATTTGTTCAATATAGTAATAGGGCGGTAATTAGTTATAAATGCCGGAACCTCAGATTTCAAAATAAGACAGACCTTACCGACTTTCCACAGCTCAGGAAACGTTGAAGTTTTTAAGCACAAGTTAAATAATATTAGTAACGCATATACAAATATGTGTTTACTAAATAAGTACCTAGGTATTTGATCACTCTCAGAGGTTGCTTTGTTTTTAAGATTTAAGACATTTGAGAAGAAATGACAGTTTGACTATCTTTTGTAAGACAGTTACCTTAAAGAGGTTGGTTGCTTCTTTATCTCCTAACCATTGATCTGAATTGTGAAATTTGATCACTATTAAGATTTGGTGTTTAATTTGGTTCTCATCTGTTAGTGATGATTATAACGAAAGTAAAAAAGTGTAAAATTACTAATGTCAACTCTATCGAGTTGGAGTTTCGTTCTCTTAAATAAAATTAACCAAATCACACTTTTCTCTGTTAATGCCGAATAGCATGCCGTTTGAGAGTTATGCACTAGTAGGTACTAGTTTTAATCAATTGACCCACAAATCTTGATTTGTCTGTAACTTGTTTAATATTTATTACTTTTCTATTTTTCCTTGCATTTCATATTAGACACTCTAAGTATTCTATATTACCTTACTCTGGTGACCATAAAAATATTAAAAATATGTTCCATTATTAATATTTAAAGAACTTACTTATATTTTTAGTTTATTCATAAGCGTAAAACTTGTTTCGTATTATTTATTTTATTTACTCAACCGATCTATTTTTTTTTCAAATTTTTCCAAATACTATCGATTCAATTTGTGAAATATTCGCAAAAAATAAAAACGCAACATATATGCTGGAGTTACTGTATACTTGTATTTATTTTATTAATATGAGAAATTATAAAAAATAAATAAATTTTTCTTACAGGTAAGATGTCAATGGCAATTGATATGCAATGGTCCCAACCGGCTTCAATCAATGACGCAGCTGCTGCAGAAAGAAGAAATCCTTTAGATGTAATGTTTTACTTATTTTTTATCGCTTTGTGTTCGCTTTTCTTAATTTAAATAAGCGGTTATATGAAATTACACATACTCGTATATTCAAACGAAAGCGAAATTATTTACATATTTTTGTATATGATTTGTATCACTACAGATAAATACATAAAGGTTACTTTTATTTTTAAAAATGTTCAAAGTAATAAATGTCGTAGGCAATTATTAATTAAGTATTAATAATAAATAAATCTATTAATTAACAAATACACATATTAATATATTATAAATTACCAATGCTAAAATTAGTTAATGTTATAATATTTAGGAGTAATGCATTTAAAACATCTAAATTTTATTTCAGTTTGGTTTGTACGCCAACCCAATCTATAAAGGAAACTGGCCCAAAGCAGTTATAGATAGGGTTGATTACAGAAGTGTAAAGGAAAACTTCACAAAATCTCGCCTTCCCAAATTTACCGATAATGAATTAGACTATGTCAATGGTACATCCGACTTCATGGCAGTAAATCTATTTTACACACATGTTGTGGAAGATATTGAGGAAGCTGAATTCGGCGATCCCAGCTATACGAAGGATATGAAAGCAAAAGTATATATAAACTCAAATTGGAATTTGGCAGTCAACGGACAACCGGTACGTCTATCTTTTATTATAAATACTGTGGTCCCGTTTTTCAGGTTAACACCTCTGGAAGTGTGAGAATGCTATGGACTTTCCGCAAGCCAATTTCTTTTTTACAAATAGTACCCTGAAGGGAGGTTATTTTTTAGTAATCATTTTATTAATATAACAAAAGCCTGGCCTACTACGATTTTTTAAATGTGTCGTTTTTCCAGAAAATGGTATTAGGCATTTTTTATCAAAGAGATAATATTACCAAACTATTCTACACCCATCAAAATATCCATATACCAAATTTGAACAACAAATGTCTATTGAGCGCTTTTTTATGGGGTGACAAACTTCGAAAAATCAGACAACTAAAAATTATAATAAACAGGTCAAAGATTGCAATAAAAGTGAAAATAAGTACCAATCGGACAAAGAACAAATACAAACACTATAAATTTAACACTTTTAATTGAGGCCATAGTAAAAATATAACGTACCAAAAATATAGGTAATGAATTATACATATTAAGTTGTTAAACAATCTAAATTAAATTTTAGTTTTCTCGAACTATGGACTTTTACTTTTGGGGTTTTATAAAACAAAAAGTATATGAAACAGACCAAGGAATTTGGATGACCTAATGAATCGCATAAGACAAGCTTGTGCAGNTTAATAATAATTAATTAATATAATTAAAAGTATTAAATTTATAGTGTCTGTATTTGTTCTTTGTCCGATTGGTATTTGTTTTCACTTCCATGGCAATATTTGTCCTGCGTATTATAATTTTTAGTTGTCTGATTTTTCGAAGTTTGGCACCACATAAAAAAATACTCAATAGACATTTGTTGTTCAAATTGGTATATGGGTATTTTAATGGGTGTTGAATAGCCTGATAATATTATTATTTTAATAAAAAATGCCTAAAACTACTTTCTGGAAAAACGACCCCTTTAAGAAATCGTAGTAGGCCAAGCTTTTGTCACATCAATAAAATGATTAGTAGAATATAACCTTCCTTCAGGGTACTATTTGTAAAAAAATTGGCTTGCGGAAAGTCCACAGCCTTCTCACATTTCCAGAGGTGTTAACCTGAAAAACGGGACACACTGTATATTTCTTTTGATTATCATATCTGTCATAAACAGTCTTTGCACGGTACAAATTGGTATGTTTTAAAAAAATCTTTGATATGAACTGAAAACAGAAAGATACTTCTTTAATCATGTAATTTTACGAAATTGTTTTGTAACATGAAGTTTTCAAATTAGTTCATTAAATAATAAACGGTCTAGGACCTTACTTTGTAATCAAACATTTTTCTGTACCTATGGTTTTCGAAAACTCATAGCTTTTAAAATAATATATTAAAAAAAAATTATTTCTTGTTATCCGCCATTAGAGCAGATAAGTCGAAATACTTATTTGAATTAATAATAAACAAAGGGCGTAAAAGCGAGAGCAATAATATTTTTTATATATTATGTAAGCTAGTTAAAGGGTTTAAGACAGTGAATAATTACATAAAACATTGGTATACCTTAAACATGTTTAAGTATTTCTTTAATCCGTGGTATTATTTTGATATAAACAAGAAACAATATGAATTTAAAGAATATACATTAAACAAAAGTTGCTAGAGCTTTTGATGAGCTAAAAACGTGCGTAAAATTTTGGCATTTATTTCTGAGACATCCTGTATTTCATAAAAACATTAGCAAGTAATACATGAGTTGAGTTAACACATGAACTTTTTCATAACATTATATTATTACACAAAATTATATGTATAAAAATATAAATATAACATTCAAGATTTAACGTAGTTTCTTAGCATGGGTAGAAAACTGATAACGATGTATATTTCTCAATGTTACAATAATGTAAAATTTACTCAATTATCTAGAAAATGACATGTTTGCGTTCCGTATAAGTATTAGTCAATATGTATTAGTCAGAAGAAAAATTGTTATTTGTTTTCTTTTTTATAAAGCTCAATAATAAAATTCAATTTCCAAAGAAAGTGTTCAAACCTAAACATGTTTTGAATATACCGGGTGTCTCATAAAAAACGCAGCAAGTAATAACTCTGTCATGTTTGGTCCATTAAAAAAAAAAGAACAAATACTTATCGGTAGTGGTTCCGAAAATAATACATTTTTTTACAAAAAGTAATTGACTCGCTTCTGACATTAGGATGGACCTTGAAGAATGGAGATTATTGGTGGCAATTAATAGTTCTTTTGGGTCAATGTCACTCTTTTGTCTTTTTAAATGTAATGTACGAGAGACCCGATACGTACTACAATTTGTCTCTGTGTTATTTCATAGATTGTATCTTGGAGTGCTAGGGAGACGCTGACTTGATTAAGTTCATCCTTCAATAATCCTGACATATTAATTACCGGAAATGGTATACCAGACGAAGATCGTTCCAATGATAATACGAGAGTTAGTTATTTTCGGCTAGAAAAATTAGTTTTTTAAATTTTATTTGAAACTTATTTATGACAGTTTTAGATGTTTTGATGTTTGGTGACACATGGCTTTAGAAAAAAATTCTGAAACTGAAGATTAAGTCCTCTGACCGGCATTTATTGTATATCACTTAATGTGAAGACATAATCTCTGGTTTCAGAATTTTTTTATATTTCAAGAATAGCTTTTTTAAATAAAAATAAATTTAGAGTAAATTACCTTATTAAGAGATTGAGATCGCTAAGGATAGAGGAAATAGTTTTGATTTTTTCCCCATATTTTTTTTTCTGTTTGATATCTGTTTTCTGATATTTTGAGAAAACAGATATATTATGGAACCTCACTTACTAGAGATTTTGACAAAATGGAGATGTTGTATGAAACGTCACTTTAGTTACGAAAAAAAAGGAGTGTATTGGTGGTATGTCGCTTAAATCTACACAATATAACACAAAAACTGTCAATCTCATTAACATGCAATATACAGGGTGATTCAAAAAACCGCTGACAGACTTCTAGGGTAGATAATACATAAAAAATTAAGACGAAAAGTTTTAATAAACATAGGGTCGCAAATGCCTCCTGAACGAGATACAGGGCGTCAAAGTTTCTGTAAAATTAAACATTGTCTGCAATAATTCCAAAATGCCTGAACATTTCTATTTCAAATTTGCTATGCGTAGTAAGCACCTTAAGACCAATGTTTGATGTACTGCTCAAAATTTTATGAGCAGCAGTGTCGTAGAGACGGGGTCAACGTGACCCTTTTTTAAAAATATTTTCTACGCCACTGCTAATTTTGTCAAAAGGGCACTATTTTCGTGTAAAGTGTTCAATTGTCTATCGAATTGGTCTCTTGCAAAATTTGGATTAAAGCAACCATTTTTAAGAGAAACACCTTTGTAGAAAATTTGTAAATCCAATTTTATTTTCATTCATTTTAGTTTGTCATAGTAGGCTTGTGCTATTCAAAATAAAATTAAACATCGCCTGTCACTAATGTCAATGTGTACAAGTGAGTTAAGTAAACTAGATTATAAACTTCTTTTTGTCATTTTTACGCTTTAATTTTACAGAAAATTTAACGCCCTGTATCTCGTTAAGGAGGCATTTGCGACCCTATGTTTATTAAGACTTCTTGTCTTAATTTTTCAGGTATTACTTACCCTAGAAGTCTGTCAGCGGTTTTTTGAATCACCCTGTATAAGTTAAAAAAGGTCTACCATACAATAATTGGCGTGATGAGGTACATCATCCAATAACTTCACCCCACTTTAGTAGAAAATACTGTGTATAAAATCTTCGTAGTCTTCTGTTGTTGATTAATTGTAAAAGTGGCTTTAGTAGTTGATTGGAATAAACCTCTAGTTTTTTACGGTTCCATTTCTTTTATAACTTTGCTTACTGTGAATGTTAGAGTGTGTTGTATGCTCTAAATTTTTGGCTAGCTTCTTCTTATTAACCAGTGGTTTGGTTCTATTCAAGTCCCATAACACAGCGTCCCATATGTTCAAACCTATTAATCGGTAGTTTTGTCCTTTCTTGTCGACATTTCTGTCAGTTCCTTGAGTGTCAGAAAGGTTTTCCCAGGAGCTTCATCAGCACTCGCCAAGGATATGCAGAGAAGTTTCATCCGTCGAGTCACATGTTGGGCAGACCGGCCCCTCTACAAGCGTCAGCTTGTATAGATATTTCCTAAAGTGACAGTGTCCCGTTATAAGTCCCGTTACTTTCCTGAGCCGAATTTTATTCAAGCTCACCAACTCATTCGTTCTTTTCTGCAAAGAACTCTTCATAAATTCCTTCGCATGGCTTTACCCTGGCCTTCAAGCCCAATATTTTCTATGTTCTGACTCAGTCCATTTGCCCACAGCCCTTTAACTCAGCCCTCACTGGGAGATATACCACAGAAGGGCTCCGGACCAATGAACTCTCTCGGATCCCTTCCTAGCAAGTTTATCAGCTTTCTTATTTCCGTCAGTGCCTTTGTGTCCTGGCACCCAACACAATCTGACTGAATTAGTGGTAGCCAGTTCAGGCATTTGTAAACATTCCCACACTAGTTTTGAACTTACCTTACGTGTCAGCGAATATGTATATGAGTTTATGTTTATAACCTCCTACTTGGAATATGTACTGTGGGAAAACTTCCCAGACTGTAGCTTGCACTCCAACTGGGTCTGAGTTCATATATTCCTGCATCATCCAATTCACCTCAGTTTTGTAGAAAATGTTGTGGTTAAAATCTTCGTAGCCTTCTGTGATTAATTGTAAAAGTGGCTTTAGTGGTTGATTGGAATAAACCTCTAGTTCCCACGGTTCCATTGACCCTTTGATTGCTTTTTGAATGTTAAAGAATGTGTTTATGTGTGGTTGGATACGTTCCAACGTGCTCTAAATTTTTGGCTCAATACCATATGCCCATATGAATTTGATCTCTTTTGTAAATTAACAATTGATTGTGAAATTATTGGTGTAATTGATTTACTTATTAATTTCCTTTGTTTTCGGTTTAATTTGTATATGTTTCTCTAATATATGCCGTTTCTAATTCAGCTTTAAGTCTAAATGAAGCCGTAGCTACAAATCAAATATTGATTTCTTCTTGCTGTGTATGTTAACTGATTGATGTTAACGATCGAAGTTTTTTTTCCTAAGATAAAAGTTATGTGTGTAGATTTTGTTTTCTTGGCCTTTATTTTCCATTTTTTCACACACTCTAGTAGCTGTTGGATCTTTTTTGGCTTCCATTATTGCTATATCATCCGTGTAAGTTTTTTTTCCTAAGATAAAAGTTATATGTGTAGATTTTGTTTTCTTTGCCTTTATTTTCCATTTTTTCACCCACTCTAGTAACTGTTGGATCTTTTTTGGCTTCCATTATTGCTGTATCATCCGCGGAGGTGTATCTTGTTATTTACATACAGCTGTAGTAGAAGACTCAAATTCGTTCGTCTCAGAAACAATGCATTTTAGCGATTTGGAACAGTAAATATAAATTGACATTTTATAAAATGTTTTTCAAAATTTCCACTGCAAAAAAAAACTGTTTTTGGTTCCCTTAGCGATCTTCATATTGCAGGTAATGAATAAACATATGTTCATCTGCGCCTATCAAAAAAAATACTAAATGTATATCAAAAGGTAACGGAAATATTAAAAGAAGCTTAAGTATAAACAATTCGTCGAAGGCCCATAACTTTTAAGGAGGCAAAACTATACTAATATAATACACATTGTTTTTTTTCTCCCTTACATCCTGAATGTAATAATTATTGTGCTATTATTTCAGTTATAAATTTGGTTTCTATGGTGAATATAAAAATCATAAGGTCGGATTCGATAAAACTTCTCTAAGATTTTACAAAAAGTTGATTAAAACTTGATCGTAACATCATACCCGACGATGTTACGACCACCACCACAACTACAGTTGCAACTATCACTCCTGATTCTGCTACAAGCATTGTTTTGTGTCCTATTCTTATATGTATTAGCAACACTACTTTTATTTAATTTATTTTAAATATAAGAATTATTATCGAGCATACTTTGGACTGTACAATAATCTTAAATGGATGCAGATGCAGATCTGTTTTTAAAATCCGCTGCATTGTGCTTTTTGAAATGTTTAATTGCAGTCACTGAGGCGCACCGAGGTTACGGTAATTTACAAATATTTTCGGCCAGTACGAGGCCGGCCTGTTTTTTTATTGTCTACAATTGAACCTCTTTGTTCAAATTTAGCAACTNGAAGGCCCATAACTTTTAAGGAGGCAAAACTATACTAATATAATACACATTGTTTTTTTTCTCCCTTACATCCTGAATGTAATAATTATTGTGCTATTATTTCAGTTACAAATTTGGTTTCTTTGGTGAATATAAAAATCATAAGGTCGGATTCGATAAAACTTCTCTAAGATTTTACAAAAAGTTGATTAAAACTTGATCGTAACATCATACCCGACGATGTTACGACCACCACCACAACTACAGTTGCAACTATCACTCCTGATTCTGCTACAAGCATTGTTTTGTGTCCTATTCTTATATGTATTAGCAACACTACTTTTATTTAATTTATTTTAAATATAAGAATTATTATCGAGCATACTTTGGACTGTACAATAATCTTAAATGGATGCAGATGCAGATCTGTTGTTAAAATCCGCTGCATTGTGCTTTTTGAAATGTTTAATTGCAGTCACTGAGGCGCACCGAGGTTACGGTAATTTACAAATATTTTCGGCTGAACAGCCAGTACGAGGCCGGCCTGTTTTTTTATTGTCTACAATTGAACCTCTTTGTTCAAATTTAGCAACTAAACTTTTCACAATTGTTTCATTCAAGGCGTTCCTTCTGCCGAAAATATCACGTAATTTGCGCACAATCTCAGCTACACACTCTCCGTACCTGTAATGAATTTTAAAGATCTTCACTCGCTCGTCCGTCGTATAGCGCTCTATTTTATTATTTCTTTTTTGTATTTATAATGCTACTTGGAAAATTTTTTTATCTAGTCAGTAACAATAATAATTTAGCGTAGGAGTATCTTTGTCTCTAAGAATTTTAGATTTATTACATGTTTACAGCCAAAAATACATCATAAAAGAGCAAACAAAATATTATAAAAATAGCAAATATTTCTCAACCAACTCATTTTTCCTCTTTATTATTTTTTGCCTAGTAAGTTCGCCACATATCTGCTTATTTTTATTCCTTAATTCCTATAGTACCAAAGCCTGCCCTTATAAAATATTTTCTTAATAATCATTACCTAATTATTTAATATAATTTTATTTCTTCATTTGACAAGTACCTACTAATTGATGTGAACATTTTCAAAATATGTCAAAATAGTAGATGCAGATAGGTTCCTACACAAATCCTGCAGCTAAAAAAAATATCGAGATTTTGATAGCTGATAAAACAAACAGTGAAAGTATAAACTTATCCAACTTTTTTAGTTTTTAAATTAACAGTTACGTTATAATAAAAAATATATTTAGTTGAGGATTTTAAAGATATTTCAATCAATTTTAATAGAAACAGGTTTGTAACCTAAATTAAAATATAGATTTAATTGTAGTTAATAAAATTCCTAACATTTATATTTTTATATTATATTCAATCAATTTTGATAGAAACAGGTTTGTAACCTAAATTAAAATATAGTTTTAATTGTAGTTAATAAAATTCCCAACATTTATATGTTTTAGAAGGCCGCTACTTTTTTCATTTAAGGACTAAACACCTAGGATTAAAATTAAAAAGTTTCTCTTCTCTAAAATAACCGAGATAAGGGTGATCCCACAAAAAAAATCACTCAAATTTCACTCAATATTACTCAATAATGTATCAATTTCTGTCCACACCCGATTGAATGAAATTTTCACTCTATTAGTATGAGTAGGTACAACTGAGTGAAAATATTGCATCAGAAATGAGTAAGTTTTACTCAAATCGGAGTTACTGCTAACTATTAATTGAGTGACTTTTGATTGTTTTGAGTAAACCAATTTAGAGTTGACTTTTTCTCTAATATGATTTAAGTTTAACTATTATTGAGTCATTTTTTACTCAGAGTTGGTTTATATTATCTTTAAATTTTAATTTAAATATCATTGTATAAAAGTCATAAACTACAGTGCCACGGCCACAGTGGTTTCTACACAGATCTGTTTTAGAGACTATATTTTAGGTCTCGATTAAACTATAACCTATATTGTACGTTACAAATACGTAAATATAAATAACAATTTAACTATCCATTTATTTAATCGATACTTATTATATTGTCTTTAATTATTGTAATTAAGTACAATTTTCACTAGAAAACCAGATAAACCGATACTTGTCCAACTCATACGCCATACTGCCATCCACCACGCCATGGTCACGAAATAATCTAATGGGACGATGGGAACAAACAAAGACAATGCATATGAAAAAGGGTGGGATCGATTTCCTCTGATTTAGGTACAAGTGCACCAAATACGAGTTTACGTGAATAACTTATTTAAGGAGTACCTATATTTGAGTGACAGTACTCAGTTTTAGTTTAAATATAATCACAAATAATGAGTAAAATGATCAAAATGCCCAATATTGAGTGTAAATGTACTCAATAATTTCATTCAATGGATACACTCCAAACCTTTATAGCTTTCACTCACACATATTACCGGTATTAACTTGTTCATATTTCATTTAATATTAGAGATGGATGCATCAAACCTTATAACCGTAACTTCTAAATGAAAATCATTTTCATGTATTGATTCCAAACTAGTACGGTTAAGTGAGATATAACTTATTGCGTCTTACTTGTCAATGTCACTCAATATCTACTGGCCCTAAGCATTGCATTGTTCCTACTGGCAAAGAGCAACCTGCCATTCTGTAGATACTATGAGTGCATGATTGGCTTCGTACTACGCGAAATAAACTTTCTCAGTAATTATATTGTGGGGAACAATACACTGTGGGCTACAGAACCGTTGAGCATTAAAATAGACACATAATATCCAGTGGTAATTTATCAGTCCGTCATTGGTCGGTAGAATTACCAGATCCACACCTAAAACATGTCGGTAGAGAGATATCCCAATATCTAAATCGTTCATCGGTCATCCCACTTTTGGTATATTGATGACATATTATAAGTTCGAAACCCAATGCTGAATGGAGAATGTAGTCGTCAGACGTTAAATTATTGATCTTTTAGATGAGTTGGGCAAATATTTGGAAATGTTTTTTCGTGGAAATAGATTTGTTCAAATACAGATATTTAGTAAACACATCATTTTCTCTCAGAAGCAAGTATTCGGTATAATTTTTTTTAGATGGGAATTGTTACGTACTTTAGAAACATGTCTGAGAACTCTCAATTTTACACTCATTAGTCACAGACTAATTAGTGTAAAAATGTATCATTAATTTTTAGTTTGAATCTAGAAGCAATATTAACAGTGTGAAACAACGACTATTCCAACGTCGCTATAATACTCGTTATATTGCGGATACATTACATCAAATTACTTATTTTTCAAAGAATTTCAAATAAATGTTGCGGAAATTCACGTCAGTCGGCAATATGATAATGAAGCATAGGGGGGCTACAGATAATGAGTTAAAACGAACCGCTTGTATTATTGTTTGATCATCGATTCATCAAATTATTATTACAAATATTTCATTGTAATCTGCAGATAACATTTCATTTTAGTTTTTAGGTCAATTTCATTTGTTTATTTAGTGACCTGGTGGTCTTTTCGTGTCATTTTCGGGGAAATAAGTAGATACCTACCGAACTTAGTTCAGAGTCGTATTTAAAATTATCTTCTTTGAACCTTCCAAACTCTTATCACAGCCGGCCAGTATCAATCAATAGATTAATGGCAAATAATATTTAAGCAATCAAGATAAAAATTAAGTACATACTTATCACCTAGGATCATTTACATACATCGCAATACATAGCACAAGTTAATAGAGTCCTACAGTATTTCTGAAGTGAGTAGGTACAGCGTCCACAATGAATAAACTGAATCTTGCCATAAATATAATATCACTTCTTTGGTAAGTTTCATATACTATTATCATTATTTTTCATTTTATGTATATCTCAAATATAAGCTTCTGACGATCATTCTAGAAACTCTAAGTCAATATGAATAGTTCACTGATTTGTTACTAAATTCGTTAAAATAAACTCATTATTTATTAAACAACAACGTTAATTTTTCAGCCTTGTGAATGCAGAAGATGCTAGAATATTTCCACAGACACTATCATTTGGCATAGGCTCATCTGCTTATCAAATTGAAGGAGCCTGGAATGAAGATGGAAAATCTGAGAATATATGGGATCGTTGGATTCACAGCCATCCGTCACATATAAAAAATAATGATACTGCCGATGTCGCTGCTGGTTCATACAACAGTATCTTAAATGACGTATTTTATGTAGCGCTATCAGGAGTTCAGCACTACCGGTTGTCTATACCATGGACAAGGTGAAGTTAACATTTTTAGAACTGCTGCTATTGCATCGAAATATTAAATCATTATTTTGAGGTTTTTAAATTCAAAACCGGAATTTTAAGGGAGAAATGATAGAACACAAGTAGTGGCGTCTCTTTGACTTCACAGAAAGCATATAAAGTATTAATTTAATGAAAGAAACAATTGAGAAAGTAGGTGATAATATATTATCACTATCTATGACCTACTTTCAATTAGTTCTTAAATTAATTGTACCCCAAAACAACGAAATGCTTTATTATTCCTTTACTGCATTAAAATAAATTTTAAATCATCGACGATCTACATCCATGATTATGTTTATTTTAGGATACTGCCAACTGGATTCTCTGACAACATAAACACTAAAGCCGTTACGCATTATCAAAACATGTTACAAAACTTACGAAGTTTCAATGTAACACCAATAGTGACCCTGTATTATCATGATTTGCCCCAATCCCTGCAAGATATTGGAGGATGGACAAATCCAGCGATGGTCAAATATTTTGCGGACTACGCTCGAGTCTGTTTCCAATACTTCCCGAACGTTTATTACTGGATAACCTTTAACGACCCAAAGGCAACTTGTAGAAGAGGATACGGAGAAGGGACGTTTGCACCAGGTATAAACTCGGATGGAATCGGGGAATATTTGTGCGCTTATACAGTTCTGAAGGCACATGCTGCAGCTTACCATGTATATAAGGAGGAATTCAAGGTCTTGAACGGTTAGTATCCGAACTATGCTTTCCTTTTTGTTTGACTACAAAAAGGTAACGAAACTACTACTGCAGTAACAGACTTTAATTAAAAAATAACTGTGTCTCTTCTTCCAGGTAAGATATCTATGGCAATTGATATGCAGTGGTCCGAACCAGCTTCAACTAATGACACATCTGCTGTGGAAAGAAGAAATGCCTTTGAGGTAAATACATACTTAAGCACATGCACATGCTCCAACTGACCTGTCAGGTTTGTCTGCACAGGCACTTCTGTGCAAATTTATTACCAAACAATAATTTCAATTATTAGCCATGCCTTTACACTTTTTAGCTTCGTTTGCGGCTTTCCTTGTGTCAATGATTGAACAATTTTCAAGCTGGTTGCCACATCATCGGTTTGTATTTATTGATATCGCTACTCCTATTAAAACAATCTTGAAAGTAGGGATTAGGTCCTCCGTGTGATAATTATATTTTTCGAGCACTGATCTATGGTATTCCAGAGCACGGTTTGCAGTTTGTATCGTTCCATCCTTGATTTTGCAAATAAGTCGTTCCCTTTATCTGAACTGAAATTATCTCGATTCTTCTGGTAGGTACCTCCCTTTATAGTCTTAGACTAAATTTTCTTTACAAGAATTCTAGAATCAGTTAAGTTTATTCTATCCTTTATCTGTCTTCTGCACCGATACTGCTGATTTCTGAGTGATATTTGCGCTCCTTTAACCTCCTGTCTTCCTGTTTTATACTTATACTTTTCCACATGTATCCAAGATGCTATATACATCTTCGCATTGAAATAGATCGTTCTTGCAACCCGTCTTGGAAACTACTGTCTATTTGCCCTGAGGTGTTGTAGATTGTATTAATATTGTGTTTCCTTAATATGTATCCTATCTTATCAGTACATCCTTTAGACTCTGCGTTCAGATATTTATCTGCTGACTTTCAGTAAATGCTGTATACTGCCTGTATAGGCCGTCTGGTTCTCTCTGACAGACTGATTTAGTTCAAGAATCCTGCTGTATCCATGGGACATCATCAACATGTAGAAATTTTCCAGAGCTGAGGCAAGACGGAACCCATAGGTTTTTTTTTCAGTGACCTGATCCCTAAAGCAGAGGACAGTCCATCTTGTAGGTACATAATTCTGTCATATCTACTAAAGTCTCATCTTTGTCTTCTACGATGAGCTTTTTGAGGTTCTTCCAAAGATGATAAGTTAAATCTATTATTTTTTGTAAATTTTTATATTACAATAATAATTTTTATTTTATTAAAGATTATTAAAAGAAATGTGTATATGTACTATCTAAGGTTAAAATTTGTATAACAATTATAATGGAAAATAGTACTGAAAAGAGATTTTTTCAGTTTGGTTTATATGCCAATCCAATATACAAAGGAAATTGGCCCCAAGAAGTTATAGATAGGATTGATTACAGAAGCGAAAAAGAAAATTTCACAAAATCTCGCCTTCCCAAATTCACCGATGAGGAAATTGATTATATTAATGGTACCTCTGACTTTATGGCAGTAAACTTGTTTTACACCAATGTTGTAGAAGATACTAAAGAAGCTAAATTCGGTGATCCCAGCTACGCGAAAGATATGAAGGTGAAAGTGTCTTTGAATTCAAATTGGAGTTTAGCGGTTAATGGACAACCGGTAAGTAATATATATGAAAGTTTTACAGCAAAAAAACTTAGTATGTACCTGAAACATAAATATATGTAGGTTCATATTGCACCAAATTTCCTTTATTCAGCAAGATTTTTATATAGATGTTTACAAAGTTTGACAACCTTTGTAGTCGCAAATTAACTCTAAAACTCTTATGTGTATCTTTACGTTGTCTCAAAATTTGCGTAAGTTTTTAAGAACAGTATAGAATACATCTAAGCTTATATGAACATAAAAGAAAAAAAATAAAACATATTATAAAAACATGAAATAAATGTATGTAGATGCATAAACAGGGTGATTGTATATTTCATGTATATTTTTTTTATAGATTGTTCCCTGGAGTGCTAGAAAGACTTTAACTTGGTTAAGTTCATCTTTCAATAATCCTGACATATTCATTACCGGAAATGGTATACCAGATGAAAATCCTTCCTACGACGATACGAGAGTTAGTTATTTTAGAGTAAGTATAATTATTATTCGAAGGTTTTAATATCAGTTGATGGTGTATTTTCAGGACTATCTCAACGCGATACTCGATGCAATTATAAATGATGGAGTAAAAGTTATTGGATATACAGCATATAGTTTATTTGACAGTTTTGAATGGACCGACGGATACAGGTATAAAAAAATATGTTCATTCTGTTAAATGAATTAGTAAGTCTGTATGCATTCTTTTGTAATTTTTTAAATTGCATTCAATGATTCATGCTGTATAATTAGTATAACTACAAAGTAACTTGAGATGCACAGTTTTCGTTGAAATGCTGTAACCATATTAGTATATGTGTTGTATTAGTATGACTCGAATCTAATTCAAAACAGTACAATTTATCTCATAACTATTGTTTCAGTTACAAGTTCGGTTTTTATTACGATTACCAACTTGCCCCGGTCAAAGTGAATAAACATTCTCTTAATTTCTACAAACAAGTGATTAAAACTTTCACCATACCCGCAGAAAACATAACCACAAGCACCACAAATCCACCTACAACGCCTGATTCTGCTCCAAATATTGTCTTATACCCCGCTCTGGTATTAGCGACATTATTTTTATTTAAATTATTGTAAATAATTTTTCGTGAAGAAGCTTCACCAAGATATTATTTTAACCGGTAACAGAAACTCGGGTAATTGCATTCTTAACTGATCTTCACAAACGATAACTTCCTGATGGTGGAAAATAATACATATTAATTTTACAATCTCTGTTAAATTCGTCAATAGTTATTTAAGGATAGAAAATATTTTAATTTAAATTAAATTCTCTTTAAAAGATATGTTTTACATATTATCATTTTGTAATCTAAATAGTTAGTTATGTATTATTATATGTTTATTAATAAATTTTCTATTTTTAAAGAAGATTTTGCAAATTCTTGAGATCAAATTATTATTTCACTTATTAATTATTTTTTATGTAAATTAACGAAATTAATTCATCGAATTAATAAATGTGAATTAACTAAACTGTTTTATAATTATTTAGTTATTTATTTATAATAAAACGTATTCTACTTATTGTTTTTACATTTAAATCTTACTTACTCACTATATTATATGACTACCAAAACTATATATTTACCGCCCTAATACGCAGATCTATCAAGGTATCCCTTTGCCTTGCTTTATCATCTTAGATTTTTAATTCCTTTTGGACCTGACAGGAATGTTGAATAAATTCTAAAAATTGCTAAATGAGAATAAAAGATAGATATAAGTGACAGGAAAACAATTTCTCATATTCCCTAGATAACGTTAATTTAAGTTTCATGATTAAATGAAATTAATTTGTTTTATCTTAATGAAGCAATATATTTTTAGTTATTTTCGCAGAAGTAAGTAGGTATTGAAATCAGTTTCGATATTGAAAGTTAAATCTAAAAAGATATTCCAACTTGATTAAAATCTTATCAAGATTGGGCAGGTTATTAATAAATGTTTAAGACCACCAAGATAAAAAAATTATATAAATATTTATAGTTCTATTATATAGGTAGTATAGATAAATGTCTAATAAATTATTGCATGTAGAACTTGCTATAATATATAACAAAATCTTTTCTAGTTAGTTTTACTTAAAAATTAGGTATAAATTGGTACATAAAGAGCATAATTAAAATTATTTTTAAAGTAAATCTTTTATTTCATAACCTATTGCAATTTTAGATACTTTTAACAATAAAAACAAAGTAGCCAACAGATGAATCCATATGCAATTTTATTGGAAATTTTGATGATAATATACTTGTAAATGGAATAATATAATATATTTTAACACCATATTTCGCTGTTAAACTTCTAAAAATCTTAGATAAATTAAACATCATTGTTGCAAGGCAAAATTTACGGTCTTCCATATCTTAGAAATGTTTGTTCTAAAAGATTTTTACTCAATTAATTTTTTAAGGAATTAAGTAAATAATCGTAAAATACTAATCAGATACCAATAAAAACCATCAGTACGTACCTACACCAAGAGAAGCTTGTTCTGTTGTCCCATAAAACCGGGATGAACAAAAATACTGCAATGGCGAACAAATTTTCTTGCTTATACCAAGTTATTCTGAAAGATGCTAGGTGCGCAACTCCATTTTCATTAAGAAAACTTTTGAGAATACCTTAAGAAAATTTTTTGGAACCGATTTTGAATATAGGAAAAATTGAGAAAAATATTCCTAGTTGTTGTTGCTATTCGTGTTTTTTGCTGTAGATGTAAAAGATATCACCATGTACAGGATGTATCGGTACTTGATACAAAAAAGTTGAGTACAGCTAGATGAGATCAAAATAATATCAGTTCTTCATATATATTTTTTTTCATACGGACCTTCGTTAACAAGTTACGGGCCCTCAAAGGTGAAAATTAAAAAGTTATTTTCATTTACTGCCTCTAAACCATTAACTTCAGCATGCTGTAAAGGACCCCGCATTTTTCTTATGTAAAAGTTGTTTCAGTTAAATTGGCTGAAATTTTTTGTATGTTACAGCTCTTAACCTGTCGATCAAAAGTCTCCATTGGCACAATATCCTAAAGTTCATAGTTTTCGAGTTACGTTGACTTTAGAGCAATAACTCTGTATTCGAAGGGGTAAAAATTTTATTTGATATTTTTTGTTGTTTGCGCTTGCATTACCCAAGGTGTACCACATGGAGGTTGTAAAATCGGGCCAACGCCTCTTTGGGGTGACTTTTTTACCGAGTGCCCCTTACTCTATAATCTTAGTACGTGGGTACCTAATAATGATGGTGAGGTGGAAACTGCCATATTGACAGTTTATTTTGATAGTTTTCTTTCTTCTAAATTATTTTTTTAACTTACTTTAACTTATTATTGTTTTGTTTTTCTATTTCGTGTTATGTATAAAGTGTATATGTCAAATTTTGTTAGTGAGAATTACATTAGCAGACAGTAAGGTTTTCTAGGTACTTATTTTAAAAATATGTACGGTTCTAACACAGTGATTATGTCCAATTAAAAATTAAAAACAAAAAATGGTGGAGGCGCCGCTTGATGTGTACTGTGACAAAATCACAAATATTTCCTAAACTGTTAATTTTACCGAGTTGAACCAAGAGGATATTATCGTTGGCAAATTCTTCAGAGAACTTATTTTTGATATAGATAGATTGCGATCGCCATCTATGCAAAAATTCTGGGCTGTTAACCATTGGGCATAGTCCGTCCCTGGCGTTTTAGGCATAATGAAGTTTTACTTACATCATCAAAAACAAGCTGTACGCATGTGTTATCAATCACCAAATTTACACCATACTGAAGTTAATAGTTTAGAGACTGTAAATAAAAATAGCTTTTTAATTTTCACCTTGAGGGCCCGCAACTTGTTAACGAAGGCCCGTATGAAAAGAAATTATATGAACTGATATTATTTTGACCTCATCTATTTGTACCTGACTTTTTTGTAACAAGATTATCCTGCCCCACGATATTTCGTGGGGCAGGATCATCTGCCTATTCAATTCAAGATATCTGTAATGAAGATGAAAAATCTGCGAACATATAGGACCATTGCAAGTGTTAAGCGTCAAAGTCAGAGAAGGCAATTAATTGTCCAAATCTATGACGGACTTCGCTACAGGACATCTTCGGACTCATCAAGGTGGGTGATCGAACGTCGACCCTGGTACCGTGCAGTTAAGTAACCAAGGACGGATAACTGTAATACAAAATAAAATATACACAAACAGATACAAATACAATAAAATAACTTACATTGAATTTGTTTATTGTAAATAACAGATGTTCAATATATCCATTTCTAAACATTCAAAATATTGTTAAAACATTTCAACACATCGCTCTCGGCCTAGACCTCAATTCTAAAGCTCCAACCACCTGGGCTTTATCCAATCGTCGATGAAGATCCTACGAAAAAATTAAGCTCCTAGAAATTTCCAAAATCATAGGTACTCTCAGGAGGCCTACCAAACTCACAGAAGATTCCATATTTCAGGTATTCGCATCTAAGTTCAGTTAAAAGCCTTCAAATCCATGCCATCTCGAAGGTGTATAAAAGTGGAAAAAGGAAAAAATAAATCAAATATCGACCACCTTTCCAGGAAACTATATCTCATCTCTGATGAAGGACAATGATAGGAGAGCGAGGAAAATCCGCTTTGCCTCTTTGCCTCGCTAGCTGGAGACGGAAGTACCAGCACCGCAGGCAATACACGAAGAGCTTCGTAAAAACGTCGGTACCTAATAATGATGGTGAGGACGACATGGCGCTCAACGTGGGGCCACAGTGTCCGAATCGCCAAGGGAAACACGTAATACGAAGAGCCTCAATGACTGGTCAAAACTTACTGATTTTCGGAACATAAGATGTTGAAGTTTAAAAAAACAGTCGCAATGGACGATGGAATATGGTTCTCGCCCGCGCGCCTGCGTGACTTCATGTGCACGCCTAATCGCGCCGGGGGACCCTCCGGCGCTACTAACCGGGTTTACTACTAAATCTCCGTCAGTTGAAAACCTCAATTCCAGTTGAGGTCGTCCTATAGTCAAATCTGGACGAGAACTGTCAATATTGATTCCAGGTTGTCCATTCGACTGACTGAAGACGCCTTCTAGTGATTCTATAGAAGTGAAAGACTCCTGGAGTCTCTCTTCCTCTACATCCATCGTTGGGCAGGGCGTACAAGCGCCTACGTATTCCCTTGAGGTCATAATATAATGCACAATTGAGATTGTCTTAGAATTCGGGTAAACAGTATCACCCTGTATATAACTATTACCTAACGAGATTATTGCTTTACGACTTACTGTTTATTTCGTCTATAGTTCTATGCATGCACTGCTTACAAATCTCTAGCTCTATTAAAAGTCTTTCCCCACTAACTATTACTATCGTATTATTAGTTTCTTGACAAAAACCACTACTATTAGGAATCACTGATGATGGTATAAGTTCACAATTGACAAGATTTCTCCCACGAAAAGACACAAGTCTCCACAAGATGTATATTACAGGTAAGTACACAATGTCTTAATACCTGTTTGCAAGAGGACTCGTGGTCAAGTAAGTTTTTTACACCCGGTATCGCGCGATAGAGTCTCTTGGTCATTACTCTCGATTTCCACACGATGCAGTTCACGATCTGCAACTAATTCCAGCTCTTCTTTTACGTTTTCTTCCCATTTAATTGCAAATAAAAGTAAAAATTCGACAACTCTACTCTCTGCTGTCAATGCTGTCATCTGCTGTCGATTGTCTCGCGTTCTCGATTTTTTTTTATATTTACGTTCCTATATCTGCAATAACTCGCGATCGATACCGGTCCGCGACAATATAAATTCGAATTATTTAATAATACTTTATGCGTATGTATATATTTATTTTAGTATATTTCCAGTTGGATTCACTGATGAAATCGACATAAATGCCATTATGCGGTCCCAAAACATAATATACTTTTTACAATATTTCAACGTAACACCAATAGTTACCATTTGCTCTAATGATTTACCCAAAACACTAAAAAATGGGGACAAACCCAGCATATCTATTTCCGGGAACCAATTTATAAGTTCAATCTTTCTGGTATTCATATTCATCATAAATATATTAATGAGATTTTTGCATAATCATGAACAATGCAAGTTGTTCGCACAGTAGACAATTAAGTAAACACCCTTTTTCAAAATATGGGGAAGAGACAATACAGTATCAGTACATATTTAAAATAAATAAATTATACCAAAATATAGTGACTTCACGTACTCAAATCT